AGGCAGACAGAGAGACAGAGTGAGTGATGGGCAGACTGAGAGGGGCAGACACACACACAGACATATGAACTAATATATATGCACACATATACACATAGTTAACTCGTATTAGCTCATTTCTCTGCTCATGATGCTCCTATGTTAAATATATATAATTTATATAATTATTGGCTGGCATAGACAGCAAATCGATCATTTTTTCTGCCCATCTCACTTCACAATTAACTCTCTCTCTTTTCAGATAATGATGTTATGCTCTTAAAAAATGAACGATTTGAAATAGAGCCCCTGGCAACTCTAGCAACTCCTGTTGCCTGGGTTCATTGTAGACCAAATATTTTAAATCAAGGTCGTATTGTTTGGTACGATGAGGAAAAAGCCCGCAAGGAGCGAGAGAAAGCTCTGGCGATGTATATGAAGATGCGACTCATGGAGGAAATGGATGAAGAAGTTGAAGAAGAGGAGGCCGATGGCGAGGAGGAGGGCGAAGAAGAGGAAATGATGGAAGGCTTCAATCAACCAGAGACAGGCCCGGATATTTTGACATCATGTGCCAGCGATATGAGTCCGGACTGTGTAGTCCCATGGCTGGTGCGTTTCACGAGCCGATATACTAATCAAAAGGAGCGCGTTTTGGTTATGCAATCGAATATATGGCCCGGCGCATTCACTTTTATATTCGAAAATACGTGCGAATCCATTTACTTGGGATGGGGACATAAGTTTTGCCGGCGCAACATACCATTTAAGCACTTGCCCATTGTTCAAGAAGAATTTCCGCATTCAATTGACGATTTTATTGAGACTACTGATCCCTCGGTTGAGGACGAAATTGCCTACAATGAATGGCTGTTGAGTAAGCAGAAGAGACAAGACGATATCGGCGAAAGCCTGCATGAGTACGATGGCGAAGATATCGACGACTACGACAACGATGACAATGATGCTTAAGACACTTGAAATCACATGGGTTACTTGTAGCACTTAGTCTTTCAATGTTCACACAAATATACGCAAATGGGTCGTCAATAAAGAGTTATGGAGAGTTAATTTAATGGAGAGTACCATTTAGAGTACACACACTCAGACAGAAATACTTAAAGGTAAAAATGCTAGCAGAAAACTGATCTACATGGATCTACCTGACTAGGATGAATGTTGGCCAACTGACGGTAGTTCCTATTCCTGCAGCTTAAATTCTAGAGAGCTGAGTTACCATATTTTTCCATTCTCCCTAGTCGACAGAGATCCAATTCTACCATACCATACAGTAGAGTTGCATAAAGCCCTTGGACTTTGGAAGTAGTTGGCATTTTATTTGTTAGTTATACAGCATATAAATTCCATATATGTATATAAATAGCTACTTAAACCAAACTTGCAATTTTATTCGATTCGAGTGTGTATTGTGAGCTTTTCTCTTGATTAACAATTAAATTCACGCATTAAGCTTAAGCTGTCTGGTATTTCTTGATTAGCATGGCCCAGACGTCCGGATAGCGAGCTTGCAGAAATGATGTCAACTTTTGTGCGCTCTGCGCCTGCTGAGGCGAGCAATTGCGGCATTTTCTTGTTATGACTTCTGGTAGAGCAGCTGGAAAAGAGTTGATGATATGGAATAATTTTAAATTAAATTGCAAAGGTAATTTAAAAAGTAAAAGAAATATTCAAATAAGGGAGTGACTGTGGATTTCCTATTATTACTCTTGATATCTATATGTATATGTA